CAACAGCAAGACAGACCTCAAGGTAGTGAAGGTTGATCGTATATGAAGTCATGTAAAGTATATGGGGCCATTCCGACCCGTTTTAGTGGTAAAAACAGGGAGTTGATTTTTCCCCCATTGACTTATAATGGGGAGGTCGCGAAATTGACCTGACCTTAGGTCACCGATATCAAAATTCCGAGATATACAAATTGTAGCTACTAATGACCTTATAATATCCTGCGACTTTCAAAGGCCTCCGAATCTACTGTAGCTGTGGCACGGTGACAAAGTTGCAAAAAAGTGACTTGAGGTTGGGTCATTCAAAGTGACCTGGTGACCTGACCTTAAAAGGTAGGAAGTTCAAACTTGCACACCATGTGTAAAATTGATGAGGTTATAGTCATACCAAATTTCGCGGCGCTACGCGCCGCGGTTTTCCCGCTATTCGCGAAAAAACTCAGGGGGGGGCGGATATCCGCCCCCCCCCGTCGGTGCGCGGGTTAAAGGCCGACGCGGGACCCTCAGGGGGCATCATGGGCGTCTAGAGACCGGCGTGGGTTCGAGAGCGGCATAAGGTCGTCAGACTGACTCAAAGACTCCCAAGAGCCAGCGGGGGGCCCTATGAGGTCAGCCATAGCATGGGTCTCCTGAGGCCATTATGGGACCCGGAGGCCAGCGTGGTTCACTCTGTTGCCGGTGTGGGGCTTTCAGGGGCCAGAATGAGCCTTCAGAGGTCGGAGTGAGGCCAATGTGGACTAGGGCCATCAGAGTCTAGATCAGAGCTCAACCAGAGTCGGGCCCTTCAAAGTTAAGGGTACCTATCAGCCCTCAAACAGCGCAAGCCACTAAGAGATTGACATCTGCCCTTCGAAAAATGTTACAATCGTAAAAAAATGACAAAACATTTGGTTTTGATAATCTTTAGTGGCCCTGGCGACGACCAAAGCAAAAAAAAAAACTGTATGCCTACTGCTGAAATAAATCGTACACTTCATGCAGAGCTATCGATACCTATCAATGGCTTTTCACGTTTTTCCTTTCTTTTTTAGATTGCCGAGTGTGCCTAAAAAGGCTCCCTCATATGGTTGAAAAAGGCAAAGAACCGCACATGGGCGTGGGTTAAGTACGCCACTACTGGGGCCCCTAAGGTAAGGGTGGGGCCCCTTGAGCAGGTTTGGCCTCCCCCCTTTCAAGATCCTGGATACGCCACTGATTGCAAGATACGATAAACGCTCAGGCTCATACATGTATTGTCGCCCTTCCTTTCTCAATCGGTAAGCTGAAGGTATGTTTGAAAGCTTGAATTGATCATTTCCCCTAGCTTCATTTGTTGAAGCTAGGCGAGCATCTACTTTCTCATGGTGTGGATCCACTTGACGCGACCTGGCAACCTGACCCGATTCACCTGGAGCTGAAGTTTGTGCAGACTGTGAGTTTAAGTTGTTTCCTTTAAGGTTTGTCTGAAACGTCAGTGCTTAGCGCCGCCGTTTTTTGGGGGGGATGATCGTGTTTTGTGTGAGGGTATTTTTTCAAAAGTGAAAGTGTAATGCCATTAGTACTTCGTCCAACACTTTGGTGATTCATCTAATGTCGGTCAAATTAAGTAAGGTACATTCTTAACTTCCGCACCTGAAAATGCTGGTCGTCTGAGCTGGGTGTTCACATTCACATTGAAAAGCCTAATTCCAGGACGTATATTGTGCGACGCAATGTTTCTATTTACTTCTTATCGTTCGAGGAGCGTGCTCGTCGTTTGACGTAGACGTGCTCCGTCACTGACATAATTGAGAAGCAGAAATGACTTGATTACACTGTTTGACGTGCAATGTGACGTGCACAATACGTCACCAATTGTCAGCACCAATCAACGAACGTTTCGGTAATAGCTGCGACCGGCTGCACGACATGCTAGTGTTGCATCAAAATGCAACAATCCGGCTACAAGATGACGCAGGAAAGTGCTTTTGCATAAATATCTTTTACATTTTCCTCTAGATTCCAATGTCAAAACCATGTTTGACACGCCATCTGCATTTTCGTATAATCTGTTTTGAAAGTACGGTGTATTAGCGCAGCCGGATCCATCAAGCTCAACCGAAAGAAAGCCTGCTAAAATTGAGTCACCGAAACAATGGACATCCTCATCTATCCCCCAGGTCAATTGGTTTGGTGACTCTCAAATTTAGCAGCCCCTCCTCGGTCGGGCTTGATGGATCCACCGCACCGATGCGTGGTACTTTCAAGAGAGATTGTACTACTAACTTACAAACCATGTAAGATAACTGCGGTGACAAGCTGAACATTTAGCCATGAAGAAGGACGCATGCACTCAGCATACCAGGCAGTTGTTGAACGCAACACATACCTATACCTATAGCGTACTTTACACGCGTGTGATTGCTTTAGTAAAAGCTTGAAGGTGAATGATAGGCAATATGCCTAAGTCTGATCTCGGAAGACGTACGGACCGGCAAACTTAGCCTTATAAGCTAAGGCAGCTGTGAGCACAGTCGACCAGTGTGGCTTCTGTGTAACTAATTAAAAGAAAAAACTGAACGTCGCGATTTCCTTAGTTTTAGGGAAGGATGAGAAATGAGAATTGAAGATTGTGATAAGGCTCATAGTTAAAGGGACTATCCCACCTTCTAAAATGTTGTTAAAACCAGTTAAATTGTGCCCGACTTTATAGATTGGATGACCAGGAACACGGTTCTGGCATTTATTTTTCATTAAACATCTTAGGCTTCCCATATTCCAAACACAAACTTTCAAATATGTGACGTCACAGCCCAAAATTACCTCCTTCCCCAGGCCACATTACTGTCATAAAGCTGATTCTTTTTACTCTGTAGGCACCACAACAAAGTTCAGACCAGGTTTTAAGCGATTTTTCAACGAACAAACCCATTTAAATCAGAATGACTAAACGAGGTGACGTCACACTAACGGTCGCTCCATGTTGAAGATAGGGCCTTGTACAAGGCCCATTTTCAAATGAAGGGAACGAATTTCTTCAACACCAAGAGGCCGCGGGGGTTGCAACCTAGATAGATAGTGGTTTCTGAACCTCGCCGCAAACTTGGCTATCTCAGCTCAAACCCCGTGTTAAAGGTGGGATAGTCCCTTTAAGTACGGACTCACGAACCGTGTGTCATATTGAAGGTTTGTTTTACAATGAATAAAAACAATACCTGACTACAATCAGACTACACGTCGTCCTGCGACGTGTAGTCTGACCCAGGTGCTTACGCTGAGTAAAGGTCCGCAAAAAAAAAAACGGGTGCGGTCCAAAATCTACCTGAACCCTCCGTGGAAAAGTCTACGCACATCAACAGGCGCTGATTATTGATCCAATAAGCTCACATCCCAATGATATTCACAGCTGTTATGCATGACGTGATTTCCACCGTGACGTAACGTGACGTCATTCTTGGATTATCCCCGGCGGTCATACAGCAAACCGCAGCTCGCATGTGGATATGTTTTAAAGGCACCGACCTATTCAGCCTTATTCGGACAATAATACTCTGCTTCCTAAAAAATGTTCATAAAACAGTAATGATGACATAGTTTCGGTAAAATCCATTTGAATGGTGTGAGGTCGTCTTTGATGACTGCGGAAGAAGGAAACTGCATTGTGACGCCACGCCGGCACGCGTTGTGCCGTGGTGACAGCGATGACCTAACCGGCCATCTAACCAGCCACACGGGCTGGCCGCCAAATCATGAGTATGATGTATACCGTCAGTGGTGGTGTGGTCAACAGATGCATACTGACGGGCGCAGTATAGCGTCAGTATCCATGGTGTCAGCGGGCGTCCCGCTCGGGGGACCTAAAAGGACGCGTCATGGGTCGACGGGTGACATCATAGTCACGTCATTGAAGGCATTTCAAAGAGGTTAATAAATGATGAAGGAGTAGGACGGCTGTTGTTGCCACCCCGGGTATCAAAAGCGCCGCCCATTGTCATTGGGAAGCTTTTGACGTTGTCATGTGATGTCGTCAATAATGCAACCATATGCATAATAGTATTCTGGGAACTGTACGTAGCGTCACTATAAGTGGCATAAATGCGGAATGTCTGACGATTTTCGCTGGGGGTGGGAGTGGGGGAGGCGTATTTAAACAACACTGGTGAGTCAATATGCTTAAACAACTTTTATTATAAAAATTGTCGTAAAATGCGCAGCAAGGCATTAAAAAACCAAATCCCTCGAGTTTCTTTTTAATTGGAGGACTTATTGAGGAGCATGCCTCCCCTCCGGATCGTCCCAAACCAGTTATCCGGGCCCCCAATGCCTCAAGACACCCGAATCCTCATTCCTCATTGACAGTAAGGCTTCGGGAATCTCTATTATAATATTGTCTTATTGCTTGGTAATTGGTTTGCCTGTCAGCATCCAACTAAACGATGCGCATTGACTTTGGATTATCGCAGAGCCTAACTCAGGTTGATATAGCTACATGGCGTGGGCTCAAAAAGATCGGTTACCTCAAGTCCTGTGTGTCAATTACACAGCTGTCTCCCCTTTCCGTCCGATCAAAATAACCATCGTGCTACCCAATCGATCTTTGTCTCTGTCGTCACTTACCGGCCCAGGATAAAGACACAGAGTACCTCATCCCACATCCACTAGTTATATACGACGAAGTGTATCATGGCCAGGTATTGGCTGGCACGGATCAATCAATTCCGTCCTTGGCTTGTTTTTTAGTGGGCGCCCGCCGGGTCTTAGTGATCGTGCTAGGCGTGTATTGATCCATGAGTCGGACGCGGCGGGGAGGGCCGCCTTGAGTGCGTCGCGTTCGCCGGGCGCGGGGCTGTGCTGGCGACGCAGAGAGGACGGAAGATTGCGGTGGTGGAAATCAAGACATCCGATCACCGGACAGTGACGCCACGGCCGCTGACGTCGCACCGGACAGGGTACGCCGTGCTGGCTGGTGCCGGCGCCGACAGGAGGTGGCGACTGGCGACCCCCTCCCCTCCGACGCCGGCGGCGCACACGGGCGGGGGCGGGGGCGGAGCGCCCCGGGCGCCGGCCGGTGTCGGGCCCGGCGCTCCGCGGCCTCCCGGCAGCGGCGCGTCGGTGGCCCGGTCAGTATCGGCCCTGCAGAGCCGCCGGCTGGACGCGCTGCACGTGCTCCCCGCCAGGACAGCCCTCCGCCGCCGAGATCCACCTGCAGCAGACCGGTGACCCTTCGAGACTCCCCACTGGTTACCAACTTCCAGTCAACTCACCGCCCCTGTCATGGCCGGCCGACGTCAGCAGGGCCGCAGCCGCGTGCGGCTGGAAGACCCGATCCCCGAGATGGAACAAGAGCAGCAGTCGCTTCTGTCGGATGACGCCGGTCGCCCCCGACCCACCATCGTGCCCGCAGGGGCCGTGGGTCGGAGTCCCCAGCGGCCGTCCGGAGCCCGCCAGCCGCCGCCACTGCAACGATCCACGTCCACGGTAGGTGATAGTCAACAACAATATGATTATATATCGACGATAGAAAGTCGGTACCGACAGTAGATCTTGCGTGGGATTGATGGAAGATTTTGCGTTGGGGCCGGTAGAAGACTTATGTCGGTACTGATGGTACCTAAACTGTGTCGTTACCTTACTATGATAAACTGCGTCGGTACTGATGGTAAACAATACGTCGGTGCCGACAACAGACTGTGGTTCGGTACTGATTTGGTAATCCATGCGTTGGTACGGAAACTGATGATGAAAAGCTCGTCGGGATCGACCATCATAGTTTTGCGTCGGTGCCGACCATAAACCATGCGTCGGTCCGCACGCTGCGTTTCTAGCAGGTGGTCCAGCGCACTACTTACGCCCGTGGAGCGGCCCCGGCCCCGGTGGGTTGGCGCAGCGCCAGGGGCCACCCGGTGTGTTTGGGGAGACGCACGGGGTGGGGACGGGGTCTCTGTAGGTCACTGGGAGTCTTCCGGAGAAATGGGAACGGGCAGAACGGTCGACTGAGAAATTCCTGGCTAACTCCTTTGATTAGGTCAACATGTTCTTAGATATTTCAGAACAACAGTTGGTTTCAGATCGCTCTGTTGGGTGATTAGACAGATACTCATGACAAAAGGAGACGTCTTCGGTCGGGACGGTGTACCCGGTTCTACCATCGCGCAGGTATACTGGACGTCTGCGTGCGAGCTTCAAAGGACGGACGCAAAGGCTCTCGGAATACAGCCGCGACTGAGCATAAGATTGTCTGGTCCAAACTCCAATCCATACATAGTTTGCGGAATTTGTGCAGACATTTCGTGAATATTTGTTTCAGATAATCCAGAGAGGATGTTTTTGGCAACAGCAGATATTTATTCTCCCACAAACAGTGTAAATTTTCGCCCTCGTCAAGAATGCCATCATTGGCATTAAGCACATATGTACAACTCTTGCGAATTATGGCTATTTATCCAGTGAGTTGTAAAGTGTGTGGAATGGGGTCGATTGGATCATCAGTTGCTCTTGAATTAATTCAATTATCATAATCGCCTGGCTATCGATTCAATTAATGCAGTATCTGGCCTTACATAATTGCCTTTAGAAATAAACTGGAAATTGGAAAGCGTTATAAGGATTGTTTAATCTTATCTATTCAATGGAATCCTGTTGAAGTGAAAATGTGCAACATTTGGCATGTTATCGGAACATTTGGGAATTGTTTTATCGATTGAGTTACTCAATTGGCTACTTTAGTAATTGGTTTATTAGCACATTTGATAAATCCTTCAATCGGCAATAAGCTTTTTTTGCTGCTGCGAATTAAGGAATACATTCAACCATAGACTACTCACTAATGTGCTACATATTTTATTATAAACTATTACGTAGCCTATGATAAGGAGTAGTTTATGATTCAGCATAATCTCATTGCCTGCCGGAGTAACCGCTCTTATGGTTACATGACGTAGTATTTATTCCAGCATATGCCATCGCACTAATGGTTTTTGGATTGCTGATACGTTTATGGAATCGAAATGGAACGCAGAAGTTGTGTAATTATTTTCATAGCATGGAAGTCGGAACGATCACAATAAGTGTGTCCTGAATGAGTTGACATTTTATCATGGGCAGATATGTTTATTTGCAGTGGGCCCGTATTTTACTGCATGTACTCATAAACGTTTACCTTCTGTTTAATGTCCACGGCCATGTCTATGTATAACAAACCTCTGTGCTCGTTAGTGTGGTATCAAATTACAAGCAGACACAATGTTGTCAGAAGTTCAGCTGATACATACTGTAATGACATGTGCTTGGTTTGGGTATTGTACGACATACGTGTCATAATTCAGTTTATAGTCCAGCATGTGGTAAAACGTCTGTCTTCATGTGTTTTCTATGCAGATCTATGAGCTTTTTACGATGTGCAGGTCCGATAATTCATCAAACAGTTCATAAAAACATGCAGGAGCCCATTGCCAGTTTAGCCATAACGTGACACCTTGCCGATATTTTCACCTTCTGCGAGATGCAGAGGCCTTGCATAATGTATGTGAGCCGGTATAGCTATCGGGGGTATTCATCTTCCAATAAGCACTAAATCACCAGGTGGTTATCACTGCATTTTGAGGTGTCGTTTGTACGTTCATGCGCTGCACGTGCAACACGTGCCGACGTGTGTCCGTGTCCATTTCTGCCATACGCCGTGCATGTCCTTTTCAGTTTTTACAAGTGTGCACCCTGCTTATGATTACGGGTCGCAGCGAATTCCATCATATGGTCTATAGCTGAACCATTTGGGCTATCAATACCTATAGGGAAAGTTCCATTCGGGCGTTTCCATTTGTGTGATGACATACAGGCGCCTGCTTATGTGTGAATTAATGAATACCTACTTGTTTCTTAATATGTCTGTGTGTTTAATCCATCGATGTTAGCGTTGGTCGGTAGAAACATTACTACCCACTTACCTCTCATCGCGACTTGAACAATGAACATGTAACGTGCAAGCCTCAATGTTTCGGCACCGCTGTCCATTGCAGGTAAACACGGGCTGTGCAGCTATAGTTATTATTACCTCGCTGACCAAATCCCGTTGAAGGGGTGGAGTGGTAATTATTCCTCGCCCTCGCTCCGTTCCTCCGGGGCAGAGCCGCCCGGGAAAGATAGGCGTGTCGGGATGAAAGTCTGCGGCTCGGCGAGTGCACCCGTCTGCAGTTGAGCTTTACGGCTCTTTGCTGGCCGGTATAAGCAGCATTGGCCGTCGCCTCCGGACATGTGACATCATCCGCACTGGGCTCGCTGGGAAGGCCCACGGTGCACCTCGTGTGGCCAGGGGTGGTCACCTCTGTCGGACGGTCACCGGTCGCCTGTGGGTCAGCTGGACGTGAGGCCACTGTTGGGTCAAACGGTGATGAACCTATCGCTCTCTTCGGCTTCTCGCTCTGGGACCGGGAGCTCTTCAGCATTAGATACTGCACTCCTGTGGTTTTAAAGGCGTCTTTGGCTGGGTTCCTTGGCTTTGTTTGTGCATTGAGTTTGTCAGTATATACTCGAAGTTCTGGCGCATGAAAGCCGCCGGCTCTGTCCTTTTCAAGAAGTGTGTTCGGTTTTGAAAAGCTTACGGCGATTTCGGAGAACTTTCTGTGTGAAGCTCCGTCAGCCTTAGTTCGTGATTCACCGTATTGGCGCCGGCCGGATGTTTGGTTGGCTTCCTTTGAGCTGGCCTCATGTCTATTCGAGAGATGTCGCCTGTCGGTATGACTACTTCCGTCAGTTTAATGCTGGCCGGCTGGGGATCAATTGTGGTCGATTCGAGTAATACGCAGGAATTTTCCAAGTAAGGGGGCATAGATATGGATTGAAGAGTATCCTTCGCTAACAGTGACAGGAGAGCCAATGCCTGATCAGTTCAGTCAGATCACAGATCTGACTGAACTTTTTAGTGAGGGAAGTTGTTTTTTTTTAAGTTCTCTAATTGATTGTGAACATTCTGTGTGACACCTATTGGGCCAGCTTCCAGGCACTCTCCTTGCCTCTCACAGTTCATTGAGTTCAAACTTGCTCGGACTGTCGGCTCAACTCTTCTAAACCCTTTCAAACAAAGTACAGAATGAGCGCTAAAACTTCGCGCTGTTTCAGGCAGGTGCTAAAAGGAATCCCATTGGAGTCGCCATCAACATACCCATTCAGTAAATCGCATGGCATTCGTCTGCCCAGCGGCGTTTAACCTTGAGCCGGAGACCCGCCGGGCTTCTTGTCCTCATCAGAAATGCGAAGCCACTCGGTATTCAAGGCGTCGCCGACGGTGGGCGTTAGGGTCCACGGAGATCTCTTAACCCATGACTGGCACCGGCTGATGTCAGGTGGTCGGTGACACCACGTGGACAGTCACGGCAGTGTCACCGTGGTGTCAGCGTGACTGTCACTAGGGTGTCACCGAATGCCGTCATTTCCTTCGTGCGTCTCTAAGGGTGAGCATTGCGGGGTGGACAGAGTTGTCACACAGCCTTTGTGTGGTTTCATTCGGCTGCATTTGCGGTCACATATTTTCTTGCGGTGTCGTTCTGCGGTGGTTGAGCTGCTTTGATTTAAAATTAATAATACCTTCTTTTGGAACTCGATAAAGTTACCAATGTTCTTCCTTTCGCTTGTTTCTTCTACCTGCTATTCAGGCATACACAGGCAAGTACTGGGCTTACAGAGTAAGCTGTAAGTTCAATTTTAGGTACTGCATTCCTCTTCCCTACTCGAAATGACATGTCCAAGCGCCGTGTCCGTACAAATTCGGGCGGCCCCTGGCACGCTGCATAACCAGCCACCGTTCACCTTATAGCGTCTGTCTCCTTGCACCTGAGTTCTCGTTAACATCCGTACAAGGAGCCGGCAGCCCTGCACGCTGGCCGCTCCGCCCCTGCCCGAATGCGTTACACCTCTGTGCAGCTTACAGCCCGTCTCCGGGTCCAGTGGGGGGCCGCGCACCACGGCGGCACTTCGATTGATGATGACACTAATGCGTGCGCGGCCTATCTGCATGGCCCGAAAGAAGCTGACACATGGTGGCCTTGCGTACTGATGAAGGACCAGGCAGAGTCGTGAGTGGACTGCCGGCAGCCCCTCAGGTGCCGAGCTGTGTCCGACCTGAGCGGTGGCACGTGCTGTGATTTTTCTCAGCGAAATTCGTGTTACCTGTGCTGGATTGCTCCTTTACATTCGTACTTTCAGTGCAATAGCGTTTGTATAGGTACATACTTCCAGAAGTCGTGCATAATTAAATCGGTAACCTTTCGCGTATTGTCAATACTGTCGTGCTGTGATCTCGGAACCAAATTTATCGGATGCTGTTCAAGGCACAGCCGCAGGAAAGGTTACCGCTCGCAAGTTAAAGGTCATCGAAAGGTCACATCTTAATGTCCGGTGGCTTCGGAGATCTTAGAAGTCAGGTAATTAAGTCGAATTACTGATATTCTGTATGACTGTATTTTGTCTACCATCAAGGAAATTTT